TGTAATTAATTTCGAACTGTCAATGTAGAGATCTATAGTCAGCAACTGGAACGTTTAAATCAAACTCTTCATCAGAGACTCCCTTCAATCGGAAAGGTATTCTTCTTCTCCACGACAATGCACATCCACATATGGCACGTTTGACGCAACACAATATTATGGAGTTGGGTTGGGACGTTCTCCCCACCCACCATATTCTCCAGATATAGCACCATCAGATTACCATCTTTTTCGTTCGCTGCAACGCCATTTTAATGGAAAAACGTATGCAAATGTGGAAGGTGTTAAAGAGAACATCGACATGTTTTTGCTTCAAAGCCAAGTTATTTCTTTATCAGGACATTAACAGCCTGATTGTTAGATGGAAAAGCATCATTGATAAGAATGGAGACTATTTCATTTAATAAATGTTTTGATATATAAGTTGTTCGGGTTTTTAAATCTAAAAAAATAGCGACATTAATTTCTTGACGATCCAATATGTATGTGAGTGGTAACTGACATTATTTATTACAAACAAAACTAACTTTTGTAAACTTTATTAATTTGATATTCAAAAAAATACATGAATAATTACGTCGAAGTTTAGGAGTTAATTTTGAACGTGAATTTCAGTTTTTTTTTGTTTCTTCTATAAAATGCTAACCATAATTTTATCCATGTAAAGCTTATTGTAAGTTTAGACTATTTTTACATTAATGATCATTACATATACACCCGTACACGTTAATACGATATGCAACATATTATACTTTCTAAAAGCTACACAAGGTTATTTATTACCTTCAAGATGGTATCGGTTGTATGGAGAATAGTGGGGGCTTGTTCCGTCAGGAATGTAGAAATCTCTGTCTTGGTCAATTAGGTAAGTGGCAAGCACAGGCTTAGCAGGTTCTTCCTGACAGGAGAAAAAAGTGTTTACAGTAGTCATTCCGATTTTCGAAGTAAACGTAATAGTAAATGCTATGTTTAAAAATTGTTGTATACAAAGCAAACCTAAATTATCAAGGTGACACTATTTTACAGTTACCAGATTTTACAACCTTAGTTTTTTAGCGTGCTCGAACTTCAGAAAAATTAGTACTATTCGTGATAGAACAATAACTCTCGGTAGGCCATAGGGTACATGAATTTTTGGTCACAGGAAATGGTCACCAGAGGACTCTACCCGAGCTCAATGTGGCCACCATTTATGCCATCCTTATTGTGAATATCCACATACTGTGAAATGGCTCACTTGAAATTTGGCTAACGGGCATAACCAAAGTCATTTTTTTATCATGATCGTCTGTTACGTTGTTGGACTTCACAGATGCTACGGTAGTGATCGGTATAAAAGAAGTCGGTAATTTGAGGGTTAAAAAGTTAGCCCTAACTAAATATAATGTTTGTGTGAAGTCGAAATGAAAAGAGCGATAAGAAAAGAAACATTGTTTGAATTATGTTCTAATCAAGATATGTTCAGAACTGTACCTTCTACACACAGAACAGATATAGGTGAATTATAACAAGTTGTGACTGCTCTGAGGAATCAGCTGACATTGTACCTAAACTTGCCAAGTAAGCGTAAAGGTTCTTAGAAAGAAACTTTTTTGTAGTCGGTTAAGTGTTTACCGTGTCAGCACTTACACAAGCTCTAACTTACTGAATATTCTCCGGTGCTCGGTCCATCGGAGTAAGCTTCACTCTTGTCAGACGTGGAACTCGCAGTTTCTCCGTTCACAGTATCATTGTAGCTGCTAGGAGCGTACATCTCAATAGTCGCTGCCTTGCTGCTGGTCTGATCGCTTTCTTTTGGAGCAAAGACATTCTTTGGTAACTATCATTATTAATTAGGGATAGCCAAACTATAAACATTATTTTTCACGTTGATTCGTACTAATAACTTTATATACTGTGAAACAAAGGTAATGTGTTTGAATTGTACTAATGCTAGTCTTAAATTTTAACTTAATATTTCAAAAACACTTTAAGATATGTAAACATGGAAACTTTATCAATTTTACCTTATATAAACATAAATTTGTAGAAATGAAACCGTAATTTGTTTTAGCAAATTTTCTGTTTCTATTGCAGCTATCTAGGGATTTAGTTACATATACCAAGAAATATCATATGTTACTATCTCATTAAAAATATATAGATTGAAAACAAATGTTTCATGTCTTTCGAGTACTTACTGTGACAGAATGTCGACAGTCTCCGCAACACTTACACAAGCAGCATGCACAAAAAAGAAGCAATAAGTTGGCAATTCTATCGTATTTTCTTGCTACTACAATACAAATATATCACAACAACACGCATGTGTAAGCCTTTCAGCATCATTGATCTTAATCTTCTATATTTTCTATACCATGCGATAATCTACATTTAATTTATGACCACCAGTCCCTCGCTGTCCTACTTTTCTCAGGTCTCGTATCGAGAAGATGCAGAAGAAACTACGCATTGTCTTTTACAAATTACTTTACATTTTACAACATTCTTCCGAAGAATTGGAAAATCGATCGGGAGAGGCAAGGTCTTGCAATATCCCAAACTGTGATAAATTGCTACCATCATGCATGTTGAAGACAACACAGAATAAACATTCTGTGACTCCAGAGAATAGAGTCGTTGAAGCGAGGACTGAAGAACGTCAAAAAAGCTTAAAACTGAGTCAAAAAAACTAACATGAAGTTGACGGATTCTCGAGAGTTTTCCACCTTGTTATTACTAAAGCTAACCATCGATGGTTATACATAGTTCGATATGACGAGTTTCGATGTGGATGCAAACAATTAAAACTAACTTAAACCCTAAGTATTGTGAATCCCTAATGAAGAAACCAATCCACTGTAGAAAGATTGTGCTTATAGATTAATTAATGGTCTAATAATAAGAAATATAAATTACAGATGATTGAAACATAACTTTATTTATAAGATGAATTTATTTTTATTTAACGCTACACTTATACAATATAAAAATGAGCAACTTCACTGAAATAATGCTTTCTTAAATATTCTTTTGTAATGGTACTATTTTATAATGAAGAAAAGCAATGACATAATTGTTCAGAAAAATATCTGAAAAGTTTATGTGATTTAATTTTTTTAATATCTTCTCAAATGTTACCTACACGTTTAACACACAACAGAATATGTGATCCAATTTTTTTATTATCTTCTCAAATGGTACACTTTTAACACACAACAGAATATGTGTTTTAATTTTTTATTATGTTCTCAATGGTACACTTTTAACCCACAACAGAATATGTGTTTTATTTTTTGTTATCTTCTCAAATGTTACCTACACGTTTAACACACAACAGAATATGTGATCCAATTTTTATATTATCTTCTCAAATGGTACACTTTTAACACACATCAGAATATGTGTTTTAATATTTTGTTATCTTCTCAAATGTTACCTACACTTTTAACACACAACAGAATATGTGTTTTAATTTTTTATTATCTTCTCAAATGTTACCTACACTTTTAAAATACCACTGAATAAAGGCAGAACATAATTAAAACAAGTATTTACGGAATAATATTAACACGAGGGCAATTAACTCTAATTCTATGAGTATGAAAGAAAATAGTAATATATCAATAGAATTCTTCTAGTTAATTCCTTGGGAAACTCAACAAACCATGCTTACCTTCTTCAAGTCTTTTTTTTCTTCTTCGTCGAACGAAGCATATAACAAGAATGATGTTAAGTACGAGCAAGAAGGTTCCTACGACAGACACAGAGATTATAATTATCCTAGGAAGTTCTCCCTTCTCTGATAATACTTCAGTCATTACTTGCTCTGTTTCCGTGTCAGGAGCTTCACCTTTTGCAATACAAAACATCAAAATTAAACAATAATGAAAAAATTATTAACGTCTTATGTTTTTGCTAAAACAAAGATAATTTGCTTCTGAAAAGGAACAGTGGGATATAATAAGGTCTGGTTAATGTTCCATTTTTCAGTACCGTATAAGTGTTTTCACCAGTGCTCTTAAAACGATGCAAATGATAATAACACGCTTTTTTGTATTAATATAAATTCGCGTGTTAACTTTGACCATAACCAAAATTCGCTCAACAATTCTGATGTGAAGTAGCAAACAAAATGTCAGATTTAATAAACATCAAGTTAAATTACTGGTAACAGGACAAAAAGTAACAATGTGTTTTAAATCTATTGTAAGATTATAGTAGTTTTTTATTCGATGCGCAGTATTTTACCAATTTGTAATCACATCGGCGCGTATCTGTAAAAATACGTAAACCGCAAACTACTTACACACGTATAACTAAAAAGATGTATGAAGCTGCTACGAGAACCTACCATTATTCTTAATTTACTAGACAAGAGTTTTGTTTTTACCATTATTATAACTTATTTGACGTCAATTTTGATTGAACAATTATTCATAACTTACTTGAGGTTCTAGCTTTCAGTATTTCAGTTGTATACTCGCTGAAACCCAGATCGTTGTACGCTTGTAAGCTAAATATATATTCTACACCTATAGCTAACCCTGAAACAGTGAACACCGTAGCATTACGTGGGTACACATCTGCGTATTGGTACTCCGGATAATCAGTTTCTTTGTACCGAATTCTGTAAGCTTGGGAACGCCCTCCATCAAAACCAGGAATCCAACTCAGCGTTGCTGAGTTATGGGTAACGTTCAAGATTTTAACAGCAGCAGGCGAATCTGGGTGACCTTAAAAATAAAACACCAAATAAATCTATAATCGATATACAAGTTCCATAGCTATATTCAAATATTAAATGATACTGTATGTCTGAAATGTTTCCAAACTCTGGGTATATGAAAAAAATATCCAGCGGTTCTATAACATCACAGATATGACTACTTAGATACCAAGTAGATTTCAAAAGACCCCTTTTTACTCCTGAAGATAAACAGTCAACTATTCGAAAGTCTCGAGTTTCTGTTATTTTTTAAATCTACTTAATTTTTGGGGGGATTATTCGTGCTCATTCTTTCATAAGGGTTGGCACTTTAATACCCAAAATATCTTCTAGAATAATTATAATAATGGTCAAAAATAATGATCGTTCTGTTTTATATATTTTTAACATAAAGTATATCCGATATTTTCAACGGCGGCAAGATATAAACACTTATAAGCAGTTATAGAACAATAATTAAGAACCGAACTTACCTATTGTGTCCAGGTTAATCTTTACGCTATCAAACCCTAGTTCGTTTTTAGCAACACATTCATATAATCCGTAGTCAAGACTTATCACATCTTTAACATAAATAACACCTTCCCACGTAGTTAAGCCAAGCATTGACGTTTCTGTATCATATTTCTCGGGCTTTACATCATTACTAACAGTAGTGCCCTCATGTGACCAAGTAAAAGTGATGTTTGGCGCTCCTTCGGCCTGGCAGATAATCTTGGCTGTTTCACCATTTTCACTGGCTGATTTCAGTAGTGGTGGCGATCGGGCAATAGTAGGTTTTTCTAGAATGCACGGAAGAAGACAACAATTTTACATATAAAATGTTATGATTTGGTATTTTGTAAACATTGACGATATTACCAAACACATTAAAGACGGAGTTGACACTTCACTACTGACGACAATAATGTACAACATAAAGTGTTATTTCTCTATGATAAAATTATCACAAACATCAAATCAAATATACTACTATATTGTTTATTTAAACTGTTTTTTTATAAACTAAATTGATTGGTTGTGAATAATCTTTAATTACTTTTTGTTTTGTTTCTTATAATATTATTTGTATGTTCATCCGAAAAAAAAAAGCCTATCATGGAATTTCAAAAAGAAGATAAAAATCGGTATGATGTTATAGTAATAAAATTTCTATCAAGGATATTTGTCGATTACCAAATACAGATTCTTAAGTTTGTAAATTTTGTGGAATAAATAGATTGAAAACATGAAAAGCGTTTCACAATTTAATGTCCCTATATTGTCGGTTTTTTCAAGTAGTTTACTCTTCTAAAATCTATTCACGATAGCTTGGAGTAACAATGGCAATAGACGACTGGAAAATAAATATGACGAGTGAGTCTGAGCTTCGAGGACAATTAGATCGACTAAAATAAATTATTATCAAGTTAAAATGTCTTAGAACATAACCCTCAAAGTTTTTGTTTCGTATCAACATTCCCAACAAAATACATTTAACTGAATGTGTTAGAAGGAGCTGATTTTTGAAGCAAGTTATCGAAAGTTCAGTACATACGTTTCACCACCAAGCTGGATGCTTTTACGTCTTCTTCTCCAACGTTATTATAAGCCACACATTCAAAAACACCCGAGTCCTCTGGAGACACGTTGTAGATCGTTAAGAACGACCGGCCACCTTCTAGAGATTCCTTAGTGCGACTCATGTTAAAATCGTCTCTTCGCCAAGTGATGATATTGTCTGTTAACGGGTTGGCATCAGCTACACATTCTAGATAAGCATTCGCATTTTGGTCGACTACAGTGACCTCAGTAACCTTGGTTATGGACGCTCGGTCTGAAACGAAAAGAAAAAGGTAACATTAGCAAAATATAACAGTGGAAAATTAGCTTAATATTTCAATTAACTATTAATAAATATATTCATATATCTGCACCTGTACATAGCTATATTAGCTCATGTACGATATTGACATTGACTACGCTTATCTAATTGGCTTATATAGTTCTAGTCTGAATCCAAAGAGAACGAAGTTCTATTATAGCATAAATGCAGAGTTATAGGTATATCTGTACTTCACTGAGATAGTCCATTGCACCAACGACTTCAAGTAGATCTAAGAAAGAGAACTATTGAAATGAAAGTTGTCTCATGAATGTATTTATCTTTATTGATATTTATCAGCTCAAGTCGAACGCAACTTTCAATCTCCTCATAAAAGAGACACGATTTCTAAAGATGAATATACAGTGACTGACTATGAAACTACTGTAAGTTGAAGTGAAACGATACGACACAAACACTCACATTGTATATTTAAGACGATAGTGGTCTCTGAGGTTCCTTCTTCATTGGTAGCTTCACACTTGAATCTTCCAGCGTCAGTTCTTCTTACGTTGATGATATTTAGGATTGGACCGTTCGAAATAATCCCAGTCTCTTTGACGTCGTTTGGTTCTTTTTTTTCTTGAATATCAACTACTGTATTTCCATCTTTGGTCCATGTGTATGTAATAACGTTAGGATTTCCTCTGGCTGTTAGGTTGATGAAAGTAGATTCTTCTTCGACAATATCAAATGTTTCAATTTGGGTCGAATAAAACTCTGGCTTGTCTGCAAATACACATTATAAAATGTAATAGTAGAAAAAAAATTAAGATATTAAATTCGGTTTACTAAAAATGCGCTTGCTCAATCCACTAAAACCTAGTGATATAGAAAGTAATATTTTTTTTTTATCAAATATAAATACTTAACTGCCTCATTAGCCAATTAATACTTTCTGAACATCTTTTCGATTATTAACTTGTCGATTTTAATAAAATTTAATTTCGCCTTTTATTTAATACAGTTGTGTCTTAAAGATTCATCAAATGGCTTAGTACTTATAAAAATCTAAACCTCTTAAAAACACTAAGTGTGTATGTTTGATATAGATATATTAATTCCCAAGAGTTTGGATCAAAGGAAGATATATTTAATAAATGAACTAAAAGCAAAGCTAACTGTACGTATTAAGGAAAGCTCATTGAATGCTATTGATCGCAAAAAAGTCACTAACAGTTTGTTTCATTGGGTTTCAGCTTCCCGCTTGATGGTAACCATAGTGTGATGGTAAATACAATAGAAAGAATCGATGTTTAAGCCTCACTGAAGACGTGAGTTCTCTACAAGAAAGAAACTCGAGTTATCAAAGCGTTATGGTTGGTCAAGATTTATTTCTTTATTGTTACGTTGTGGAACTCTTATCAGTAGGCAGACAGCAATCAATATCTGGTTGGAAATTTACTACTTACACATTACGTTTAGTGTAATGGCATTATGCACGCTTTTTTGCAACACTTCATTCGTCGCTTGACAGGTGTACCGAGCTCCATTATCTTCAGATGTTACGTTTAGTTGTAATTGGTTTCTTGTCGACTGGCCACCATGAGTTGCATCCAGAACGCCATCTGGTATCCCTTGAATGAGAAATCCATCACGCCACCAAGTGATGATCGAAGCTGGATTACTAGAATCCGATTCACAAATAAGCTTCACCTGAAAATTTAAAGCATATTTGTTTGGAGGTTTCAATTAGAAATTAAATGTAACCGCAAATAAAAACCGAAAATGTGAAATTAAATGTTCAAAATTCAGCTTTACATTATATTCCTGATATGCAAAGTGTAACCAGTTTGATACATTTTCATACTGAACAAGTTTGAACTACAAGTACATCGAGGGACTTCATAATACACAACTTAACGAAAATCACGTTACCTTTCTTCCAGCTTTTGGTTTCGGAGGAATCGCTTTTATTGTTACTTCAGTAGGTGGAACTGAAAAGAAGAATAACTAATTCAATATTATCTTTAGATATATTATTCGACCTTCCTAACATTTAAAGTACTTCGTCTATTTTGAAATTTGTGGGTTATATTTGATGATGAGAATTATTTTAACAGTTCAACTGAATGGTTAAGTGACACGAATCATCAGGCTATTTTCTAACGTTCTATTCCTTACCATGAATTCATTTTTAAAGAAGTTTGCTTGAAATTATCTACGATCTTTAGACATACAAATATATGACCAATAACCTTTTTGAGCAAATTTATGTATCATATACTATGTATTACCCAACCCTCAATACCTGATATTACTATCACCTAACCTCTCGTCTTATTTGATATCCCAAAAAACTCCTCCCTGTGTTTTTGGGATCACCACTATCCAAAAATACAATATCTGTATTGATAGACAAACATATTCAATTGTACATTATAAACATATCAGTTACTCAAAATGAACACTGATATATGCGTAGCCAAAATTCTATAATTAAAAAAAGGACTATAAAGATATTTTTACGTCTTTCAATGAAACAATCTTTTTTTAAACAAAACACGTTTTTCTAAAATCTCTGGGACTACAGTATGTATTTAGTTCTTATTAGCTCTAGTAGATCGCATGTTGTGTGTATCATGGAATGCAATATCACGAAATTAAAACTTACAGTGAACAGACAATTGAATTTTAGCGACGAGAGGTTTGTCTGTAGCCGAGTTACTAGCTTCACAGCGATATTCCAAACCGTTATCTCTTTCTTCGGTTTCTATGAGAAATTCACTACTTACGACGTTGCCGTTCGACGTGATGACTGATTTTATCTATTTAAAACAGAAAAATATAAACACTGAAAACATTTCTAAACGAAATCAAATAACTGCTAAACTCTTGTGACTGTTTTCTTACTAGACTATTATCATTAGAATTAAAATACGTATTATAAAATAAGTAACACATGTCCAATCAAAACCAACAGAGTAAATATATCATGATAATAATGATTCAGATTAAAAGTCAACGTAAATCTATTAATGTTGAAGCAATTTATCTTTAAAAGGTAAGTCTTTACGCCATAGATTGAATTTCACGACTGAAAGTGAACAATTAATTATCATTTAAACGTTGTCCCTTAATTACCACATATTTAATCAGATCGTACACTCGACGACACTCTATTTTAGATTAGTTATTTTAATAAATCAAAGTGATTTCTTCTAGATCTTGAGTCTCGGAACAAGTGAACAAAACCAACATTACTACCTCGGTATCTTGTTTAAACCACTTCAAAGTAGGCAGAGGGTTCCCGCCGTTCGAAATACACGTTAACCGCTGAAGTTCGCCAGCTCGAATCGATTTATTCTCAGTGTAGCCAAGGATTGTCGGAGGAGCAGGGGGATCTATTGGGGGTTGAAAATAGAATCAACTGAAATTGTCTCGTTCTTTTGCTTACTTAGCACTAGAAACAAGTAACTCAATAATGCAATAAAAAAAATCGAATACCAAATAAAAGCATGAATTACTTCTAACCTGATAATAAGACAGTTGAAAATCAACTGTATAATTCTAGATTATGTACACTCTCAAGCATATTTTTAATTAGTGGGGTTATCGATCACAAATATGAGTAAACAAACCGGCGTCAGTTAAGCTGAAAGATATTCTATGACCTAACTGTAGTGTAGCTTAGTTCTCGAAAGTACAGAGGAAATTATAGCAGTAACACATACTAATTAGCTATAGCTTACAACTCACACAAAATACTCAGAACATGGGATTCCACCATGGTCTCTCCTAGGTCTTTGTTTACAGTGAAGCACTGGAAAATCTTTGATCCTTGGTCCTGCAAGCATAAAACATTATAATTTATCATTGTTTAAGCGTTGTTTAATAAGACAAAATATAAATATAAAATATAATTTCATGATAAATAATTATAATATTAATAGCGTGACAGTGCAAAGTTGCCCATCTTGGCAGTATAACCCTATGTGCATGGGTGGGAGTCAAAGTGCGCATGCCATGACCTTTTAGAGTCCCACTGAACTTCGTATTATGTATTTGAAGTCGAGATTGTGAACTATTCATTTTACCCTACATTACTGATTTACTGACAGTTCGTGGTAGATGAGAGCAAATACCAGATTCGATATACAGTGATACTGAAGTAAAACATGTAGATCTGCATTTTGGAGGATCTAGAGGCTATATAACTGCAATACACGAACTTTACGAGGGACAAAAGAATTTTTATTCTTCACACGAACATTACCTGGCACTCTGACTTGTCAGAGTCTTAACCAGACTGACTTTGTCAATTCTTAGACATATCTTGAGTACAAGTACTTTTGTAAGATATCTGAATTTGGTGTACAACACACTTGTACGTATCACTAAAACATTGTCATATTTCATGTTGATGCACGTAGTAAATTCTGAATTATAGTAAATATTATTTCTCCAATACAGGGTCGATCCAATACACAGACATCCTATCAATTCAGATAACTTGTGATATAACCGTTTCATTACTGAGGTGTAAGTTTAATTTTTAAGAATAGTTAGTGCCTTTTATCGTTATCAAGATGACACTCATTGCTGACAGAAAAATGACAGTTAAACAGTTAATGGAGCTCACAATTATAAATAATTCATATATATCATTAAACTAAAAAATATAATATGTATTTCTAAAAAAATCATGCCATGAATACTTGTGATCTTATGATGGCACTAATATTAGACATCGTTGTCCATCCCCCGTCGGGGTCAGCTGTGACCGTATTTGCTCCTTGCACACGCTGTCCATCCACTAGCCAGTTGATTTCAGCAGCTGGGTTACTACGATTTGCTCTGCAGGTCATCGTCACTGTATCTCCTGGCTTAGCTTCTTTTGGTCCCGTAACTTTAACCTCAGCAGGAGCAACTGAAACGTCATAAGAAGTTGATGGATTCCGTTATCATTATAGTGTCATAACTTCATCCAATATGATGAAAACTCAAAACAGTTATATTTTTAACTAACATGATAAAACATTCGATACCTAATATTTCATAAATTTAGCTAAATTGCATTAGTGTATAGTATAATGAGATTTCAAAATTCAGGAAAAAACATAAAGAATATGTAATAAGCATCAGTTAACAGTCCAATGCTACTTCAATAACAACCAGACTATTAAAAGCTAATTAAAGTGAATACGAACTACTTTATCCTCCATTTATTGTACATGGTAATGTTTCACAAATACACTCTCTCCACTACTATTACGTATAAAGGCAACAGTATTGTATCCGGCACCTAAATCTTTTTAAATAATTATCATGAAAATAAAGACTGCAAACTCCACAGAAAAATACTGCAGAAGCTCAGAAGTAAAAGATATTGTGAATGTTAATCCCACTATATAAAAGCGATGTTCCAAGTCCTGCACTGCCCTTATAACTACTTCCTTTTCCTTCATCGTCGATCGTACATGGCTATGGTTACATAATATTGCCCGTCCCTGGAATCTCAACTGTAACAATTTTGCGAAGTCAATCTTAGACCACACATTTTTAAAAAATTTCCACAGTTCCTTCATTGTAAGCAGATGTCGCTTTTCAACAAAGGCGCAAATGCCTATTGGGGCTGAATCAGGAACTTGAGAACTATTTGGTTTATGGGATTACTGTGATTACAGTTTCTTCGACTACCTTTCTCATGAAAACAACAGTTGGTTTCGAGGTGTTACTGGAATGATATGAACTTTTGGCTTATAAGCTTTTGTCAACTGTAAATCATTGTTATCGATATCTCAAGATATATCTAGTTTCATCTTTATATATATTTGGGTCAAATGGTGCTCTTTCGTAACAGTAGCTTTCGTTTTGTGGATAAGAGCGTTATTCCAAATTGACCAGTGGTGTAGTTTCAGAATCCGTTGTTGTCTTAAACAATCGGCTTGTATTTTGTTACTTTCATGAATAACAACGAAGGCTTCCCTTTACAAAACAATGTGCCCTTTAGCTATGCATCGTTTAATAATCTTGCAATAGCATATCTTTCTTCGAAAAGGGTTGTAAGAAATACTCCCAGACTTGAGTCTATCCGTGACAGCACTACACTGTTGAATGGTCGGGAATTTGGCGTAAATAAATAAATATATATATATATATATGTATATGCTAAACATGACGCCAAGTCTCACATTTGCTGTGCACGCTACTGCATTAGCAAATCATTCTTATAAAATGGCATCAACCCTCTATAGATATCAACTTAGTATTCCCAATAATACAAAGATGTACAGAAAGATTACAACATCTCTCAAAATGTTGTTGGATATCTATGCAAATAGATCTAGTCAAAGATTAAATAAAATGAAAAAGTAAGATCTGCGAACGAGCCTTGACTGAACTTTGCAAACACATAACAATGCAACATTATCACTATCTTCTTTTGATTATATTTTCTTTTAAGAAGTTTTCTAACATTATTATCTCGTTTTATTCTATTCAATACAAATCACATTTAATTCAAACTTTACGATTTCTTACTTTACGTATTTCAAGATATTGAAACAGATGAAGCGCTTATACGTCATGAAGGATTCCTCTTAGCTCACGATTTTTAACACAAAGCAAGAGTTATGGCGTGGCGTTCTAAGTTTTGTCTTTGAAATAGTTTGGCCTTATAATTAAAAAAAATACAAATTCAGTTAATCAAAAAACAAATTCTAAAAATATATATGATAAAGAGGAAATAGGTAACATCTGTGAAAAAGCCTTACAATAAAGTGTAATAATTTTAGTTAATGAGTTTCAATTTACCCTAACAGAGCTTGAAACACAATCCCTTTAATTACTCAGAATATTTAAAAACTTCCTAAGATCCCATTTAGAAAGTATATAACTTGACTTTTTATTATAATTTACGGAGCTCTTGATAATTAAGAAATCAATAAATTAATATTAATTATATGTTTTGCATTTCTTATTTTAAGTTAAAAATATTCTGTACAAATAACATTGAAGAATGTTTTAATCACCAATATGAAACTACCATCTTCTTTTTTATATTTCATTACAAATTTAAATGACTGAAGCTACTAAAAATCTGAAGATTATATACCTCACACATAAACAATGCACTTGAAACTTACATAGCACTGACAGTTTCACTACAGCATTCATAGGTTGTGGACTTATTATATTTGAAGCCTCACACCGATAGATGGCGTTGTTGTCAGAACTGTCTACGACAAACGTATGTTTGTTTGTTGATTTTTGGCCGCTTGTCGTGTAAGAAAAATCAATCTGTTGGTTGTTCTTAAACCAAACAAGCTGGGCTAAAGGGTTGCCGCCTTGGGATATGCATGACAATGTTATGGTATCACCTGAACGAACGGTTTCGTCTTCTTGAAACCCAACAATGGTTGGGGGACCTGGAGGATCTGTAAGAAGTATTGATTCCCAGAGTTAGCGTTAATATAACTTTCATTTGCGTACAATCGACCAGTGTACATCTAAAAACTTATGTCTATAAATGTTCATATATATATATCATAAAATACCGTTCTTCTGCTATTGAAGAAAAGTTTCAAAAAAGATCAACAATAAAGTGGAATCTAATTATAGTCTCAAAACACAAATATAGCATCAATTCAGTTATGACATTAATTATTTAAACGTAATTTTAAAAGAAACAAAACGTTGATGAATTTCTCAGTTTACAGTTTTAGGTTAGCCACGCAACCTCAGACACGGTGATCGATACATTGATATTTAGTTATTGAATACTGATATATTTCTGAAAATGTCAAAGTCGATTCTGAGCCCATGAACGTGATTGGTCACGTCAGAAGTCACTGTGATTTTTCAATATTTATTTTACATGTTTAAAGGAAACCAATAAAAATATGCAAAAATCCACTGCAAGTAACTAGGATATCACTTCTGAAGTAATATGTGTATGTAATATGTTAAAAAAGATTACTTAGATTCTAAAAATATAGTAACAAATCATAATAATACTGCAAATAACTAGGCAACACTTATAAAATGATATGTAAAGTGTGATAAAATATTACCGTTTTTCTTGTGATATAGCAAAAAATAATAATTTTGCTGTAAATGACTAAAATAGCACTTATAATATGTTATGTGTTATAAAAGATTACTTATTTTTCAATATATAATTATGCTGCACAGCGTGATTAGTATATTTAATAAGATAAAAACCAGTATGGATGGTTAAGTCATTATCTATTTAAGTTTTAATTTATCCAAATGTAGTTATTAATATTTTTATGCTCCTACATAAATACCTAAGATTAAAAGCAGGATAATTGTTTTACGTACAGAGGACACTCAGTACCACTGAGCTTCTCAGCGGTCGGACCAGTGCAGGGTGAATAGTTTCACATGTGTAGATGGCGTCGTTGTCGTGTGCACTAGGAGTTAGGGTGATTGTACTGATAGTTTTGAACCTCTGGTCTTCACCCTCTTCCGTGTTTGTCTGAACATTATCTGGAAAAGTGTGATGATAAGCATTATTGTTCATTGAATAAAACATTGTTAAAAATTACAAAAATAATAAAGTGTGAAAAATAACAATATTATATCTTTCCTACAGTTTTATTGACACCTTCGAATAATACCAAAATATCTTAGCAAATAAGAACGTTTGGAATCATTTATTACTGCATAATTCTATTTATTCATGACACAAATAAATCACGTAGGATCATCAGTTAGGTAAATCACAAAACAAGAAACTCGATTGCTTCTTCACGGGTAAACAAGAGTCAGTGTTCTGTTTCTTCTATAACTCTAAATCTTTAACTGATAGATATCAATAATACTGCATTACGAAACTGTATAACGTCTCGGTGAGAGTACTCTCTTATACAAGATATTTATATAAACTACTCACACTACTTCAATCACATACAAAAACCGATGAAACCCGGTGCTTTCGATAGAAAACAGACCCATCTGTCAAAATCGCTAGAGTTTCGTTGGATTCTTAACTATGATTTTCCACACTTTCTCGATCCTACGTGTTTTATAATACCATTATCACATTACCGTAATGTTATTTTGTTTGATATAAACCAAGGAGAATTTATATAGAAATTCGAATCTTCGTAAAACATTAAACAGACACTTCTCCCAAAATGCAGTACAGTTAACATAAATACAGAACCGATTGAATTACAAGTTAACTTAGTTTATATATTTTAGCTGCTCAATTTAAAGCGTCAATCTTTATGTATTAAATATACCATTTACCTGGCCTGAGTTCCACGTTTTTGCGGAACCATTTGATTTCGGCTGCTGGCTTGCCGCCGGTCACTGTGCAGGTAAGACTAAGAAACTCTTTTTCATGAATCTCGATAGTGCTGCCGTTATTGTGATTACTAAGGACCACAGAAGAGGGCGGTACTAAAACAAAAATAGTTAAAGTCACAATCCTTCAATCACAAACTATATTTTTGATGTCAGTTAAATGAGGAACAGTTATGCAGTGATTTGAGCTCGTATGACAGCATGTTTTGACTTGTAAACAGGGAAAGGATGAACTAATGGTTGGTTATTTAAAGCGAATGAATTAATTTTAGAGAATACATTATTTACTAATGGAACGACTTTCCTTTGTGAACTCAGAGCATGAGAAAAAGAAGACTAAATTGAACAAAAAATGTTACGAAGACCATTTTGCAAACGAAATTAATAAAGCAATAAATCCAACTAACTAATGAAATAAACTGGTGTATTTAAGTGTTTTACACTCACAAAAAAGAAACCTATCATTCTATAGGTATTTGAAGAACTTGTAGCATTCTGCCACAATTTAAGTTATTCGTATTGTTAGCCGACACTAGGCAGCTGGTACATGATTGAACAGAGTTGTTTAAACATTGACTGCTTCTTTTCCTCACTTGGAACATGTACACTGTTTTGTTTGTGATTGAAATTTGATAAATAATCAAGTAAGTTTCACTGAGAAATATGATCTCAAAAGAAATTCATGCACTTATTTTTGAAACTCTTAACAGTTTAAATCCTTTTATGGTTGTTGATCTCAAAAGAGAAGTTAGAAGTTTACAATATAAATTAGTGACTAAATTTTAAGAATTTTTTACACCAATTTTTACATTGATACTCTGAACTTTATCCGAGGAACTCATCTTTTTGAGAAGTCATTTGAATGGATTAAAATCTTAAATACTGACAGCATTTAACTGAGGATTTGATTCACTTATTTGTGGCTTTAGATTAAAGTTATGTTCAAAGCTGTGGTTCTCAAACTTTTTAGAGTCCCCTTTCCTCTTGTCGTTGGTACTTCACAGTACCGCCTCCACCCACGTATACATATACAAGTAAAAAGAAATTCATTATGCCACTGTCACTAAATATCAAAAATTATGGTACACCACAGATTCAGACAGTCAAGCATGTAAGTATGCAGCAATGTAAATTTTATGTGTGGCTTGTGAACATCTGAATAAAGATACTTTCAGATTTTGTGTCCTCTAGCCTCACATACACTTGCATTAGCTGAAAAAAACATCTGATCACATATCAAACAAAAACGTTAGTCTTGTTTGTTGTTATTCAAATTATTCTATCAAAATAAATTAAACCATCCTTTAGTTCTTTTTGTTTTTTTCATTAATTCTTTATGTATTTGTTTCTTTTTTCAAACAGGTATATCATTTAGTTGGAACTTTCATGCCACATATTTCTTTGTGTGTATTTATAGCTAAATGTAATTTTTTTTGTTTTTCTACTTTCTGAACAGATTTCTTAGAATTCTTTTGGCAAATTGTTAGTTAAATTGGTTGTACGGCAAATGCTGCTTTTAGACAAAATGTTGTCAGATGTTCATCATTTACAAATAATTTGGAAATGGGGTTTTTTTTATTTAAAGCCATGGCATGAATATTTTAATAAAATGGTAATATAACATTTTATTAAAATGGTAATGTAACATTTTATCAACCATTCAATAAATGGACCATGTAAGTGCAACATTATTATTTGATGCAGTGGTTCTGTTATATATGTATATATATATATATATATATCTCCATGTATGTGTCTTATGTAGGTCACTTCTTACACTTGAATGTACTATGATTCATGCTACCTGACTACATTGTATTACTCTACCTTACACGTTTATTTATTTGAATAGCAAAGTAATAATTTGATAAATATTTTTTTTACTCTATTAAAAATATTTAGTTTTTAAAATTTTAAATAACAAATGTGTCAGGTCCTTTAATCCAAGAATACATGTACTTTAAACTTTGACTATTTTAATAGGTGGGTGGTAAGTTATAAATACCTTCCTCCTTTTGTCACAGGGCAGTAAACTATAAATAACTTCCCTCCCCCTGTTTTGGTTACTTTTAGAAGTATGATATTGACTACTGACACGTTAATGTACAGTCACAACACTGTTTTTAATCTTAAGTCCTAAGTAAGCTGAACTGCAGCATCAAGCACAATAAGCTATGTTCATTCCAGTTAATAATACTGGAAATTAATACTTAATACTGAGCAGAATACTCAGTTAATACTGAGCAGAATAGCATGTTTTAGTACTTGTCAAAATCAAGTACTAAATGTAAATTTGATCATAGAGGGGATGACAAAGGAAGTGCTTAAGTGCTAGTTGTGCATGGTTTTGTGTTGGTTTTTATGAATTTGATTTTATTCTTTTTGTCCACATTACTCGCAAGTTGCTGTATAAAGGAACACAAACAAAGGGAAGATCAGTATTTAATAACAAAACTACATTTTTGGTGTAGATTCATTGCATACTTGGATGTTGATCTGGGCCATGTGATTTTAAATCTTTAAACTGGAACTAGAACATAATAATCTAGGCATATTGATCACTTTTCTTTTTGTAGTTAGAACACTAGAACATGATGATGAAGGCTCTAATATATAGGAACATGATCTAAGCCCTATGATCTGAATGTTTTAAAGTGATGTACAGGAACATGGGCTAGACCCTGTAAACTAAATTCTTTAAACCAGTACATTGGAATCTAGGTATTTTGTTGTAAAGCTATTATAATATAGCACTGAAAAAAAAAGATGTGGTTTTAAAAGTTTCTTTTCAAGAACATTGTAACAATACAAAAATGTATATAAAATCCCAGATAAAACAATGGAAGAAAATTAGTTTCTTCTTGAAAGGGAAAACTTAGCATTGTCATTTACTGTTGAAGATATAAAAGCTGGTGCTCAAATCTTATTTTGGTACCAAAATTCATTTTTAATATCTAGATGCATGTATTCTGTTAAGACTTAGTTTGACATTTTGAAAAATAAGTTTCTTTTATATATATATATGTTTTTATTGTTGAATGTTGTGTCACATTTTGACGTAAAATTAAATGAATGTGGTGAATCTGATTTTAACCATCAATGAGTTTCTTTCATTTGTTTTTATTATTATTCAGAACAGATTGTAAAGAACTGTTAAAACAGTGTAGATGATGAGTCCTGTTGTGCACATTTGCTGAATGTATTGAAAGTTTTACACTCCGATTCATACAGCACATTTTGAACCTTGAAGATATTGAATATGTTAAACAAGAAATGCACATTTAAATGCAAAATTAGAAAGCAACATGAAACTAACAAATAAGAGCAATAAATATCTATGTAAATACTATCTCCGAAATATAATAGTTAACTATAAATTTTCTGTTTTAATGTTTAAATATTAGCCTGTAATTAATGTTTATCACAATTTTTTCTTTTAGGTATCCACAATGTAGTCACACTTTTTTTGTGCTACTATGACAGAACACAAGGTCCTCTTTCAATCTAGAAGCTATACAAGATTAACTGAAGCTTGCCATGCATTAATCTCACTCATGTACCCCTTTAAATACAGGTATTGTTTGAATGTTTTAGGTTATTAATCTATTTTAGACTTGTGTATGGCCTAAGTGCTAAACATTAGCTGTTTGTTAGATAAACCCTTTCCTATCTGATTATGTTTTGTCTGAACCTTGACTTTTCCTTTTTCTTACCATTACTTAATTTAAGAATGGAATGCCCTAGAAATGGATTTATTATATAATTTAAAATATTGAAAACTTTAATAAGTTTTATTTACATTTCCTCCTGCCTTAAAAATGTTATTGCACTTAAAAAATAAAACATTTAAAATTTTACTTTCAAATTTAAAATTAAATTGAATGTTATTAGCTGTATAGTAATACATAAAAGATAATTATTGATTCCTAAACATAATTACCTCTTCTAACACTATAGCTATTTCTTGATCTCCAGGGTTTCCACTCTTTGCACATCTTAGTATTGAAAATGCTTGCTCCAGTCTTTTATACCCCACTTGAATGCCCTTGGCAAATTCTAATTTGCAAGATTCTCCAATGCAACCTCTATTTAGGTACTGTATATAAGCACCTCATTCAGATAATGTAACAACTTTTTCTCGACAAAGCATTCAACATGGCTTTCTATAAATAAGAGTGTCATGATTATTCACAATTTACGTTGCGATTTTGAATGTGGTTGGCATTACTATGGTTATATCTTTGTTTATATTTATAAATTACTTTACCAAAAAAAACATACTGGTGGGTATGAATTCCCGAGATAATGTTTCTACTATGGAGGCCAACCAGGTCTCTTTACCACCTCTGCTATCTGATGTTTGTCAATGGCCAGGGGAGAGGTCACTCTCAGTCAAAACTGTCTGTGATATGATCCGTTGCAAGATGGAGACATATATGCGGACCTTATCCACTGTTTTTTGGTATTCCAAATATTGGAAGGTTTTTGAATCCTTAGCACTATCAAATCTGCTCAAATCCTTTCATATTCTTTGATCCAAATGACCTTTTCTATTAGTGATTTGGGATTTTATAGTTGTTTTACATTACATGCATTTTCTCATCCTCCTTTTAAGGCTTTAGCTTTGTGTTTTTTGTTTTACCTTTCTCTTAAATTGTATTTTTTGTTGTTGTTGGCTTATGGACATTTGGTCAGATTTGTTTGCAATCCATGTGCATCTGACTCATTATTGTTCCACTTTTGTCTTGCTTTACCCATATTGGTCTTTTCTTCCCAAGACTTTGGTATCCAGGGAAGGGAAAAGATCCTTCTCACCAATCCATTTGCCAGCCATTTCTCACCTTTTTGACCCCTCCGATTCTGATCGTTTGTTATGTCCTGTTAGGGTCCTCAAGTGTTATGTGGCTCAGACTAACTTATTTCGAGGTACAAGGAATCGATTGTTCATTCATTGGAATCCTTCTATTTCCTGTGACTTATCTCCCATCACCCTAATGAGGTGTCTTAGTAAACTGATTCACATGGCCTATAATGGATTATTGTTACAGGAGAGGAATCTTTTATGTGTCAGATTTGTCATTTCTCTGTGTCATTAGC